CTCTATACGTCCGGCTGGTGACTCCGTCAGGACTGTTTCTGTAGCCCATCTTCTTTCAGATAAAGCAGCCCCGGGTGCTGGGGCTGTTGTGTTATCTTGGGCTTCCAAGCACATGGAAGGTACTTTCTGAAGCACCGAACAGAAGTAAATGGCACTTCGTTCTTTAAGGAGCATATTTTCTTTTCTTTTCTTTTTTTTTAAAGATTTATTTATTTATTTATTTATTTGAGAGAGAGAGAGAATGAGAGATAGAATGAGAGATAGAGAGCACGAGAGGGAAGAGGGTCAGAGGGAGAAGCAGACACCCCGCCGAGCAGGGAGCCCGATGCGGGACTCGATCCTGGGACTCCAGGATCATGACCTGAGCCAAAGGCAGTCGCTTAACCAACTGAGCCACCCAGGCGCCCAAGGAGCATATTTTCTAATGGGAGGAAGTGATTCAGGAAACTGAGCCTCCTGAATGTCGCAGACGAAAGACGTTGTTGCAACTTGGGTGAATTTGTCTGAATTCAGACGAATCCTGATGTGTTTTCCAGCCTCCTCTCTTGGACGAGAAGGGAGAGGGCAGTGAGGGCTGGGACGGGGGTCTGGGGGCTGCCCTGCCCTGGGGGGCTTCTGGGGACCCCTGGTGTCCCGTGTGGTTAACTGGATGGGGCGGGGGCCCAAGGTGAGGGAAACACTGGAAATCCGGCCGGGAAGGAGCCTCGAACCCTGTTTGCGAGAATGGAAGCGAATGTGTGCGGCAGCGTCGGGCTCCGGGAACAGACCAAACAGGCACAGCGTCTGTGGCTCAATGTAAAAAACAAGAATCTCTGCAGCTCGTTCATGTGTAATGGGGATGGAGACTTTTAGAAACGCCCTCAAGTCCAATGTGGACAAGAGTGAGCTCGCGGCCGCCCTCACCTCCACGCCCCGCCTCCCTCCGGCTCCTGGGGTTTGCTCCGCACTGCACGCGGGGTCCCGGCTGGCCCTGTTGGCGCCTTTTCCACCGAGAACTTCAGGACTTGGGGTCACCTGGGCTCCGGGGGAGGACTTGAAAACGCTCTTGGTTGCAGGTAGAGGCGGGCTGTTCTGACGGCAGCCCCCGTGTGACGTCCCAGAAGTGTCCTCCCCCACGGCGCCGGCTCACGTGCGGACCGGGAGCTCCAGCGGAGGGTCCCAAATCCTCAGGACAGAGGATGTGGGATGGACGCAGCTGGGAATGCAGCTCCCTCTGGAGAGTCCCAGAATCCCACACGAGCAGTGGAACGTCGGGGAAGCATGTTTTCAGAGTTGTGCGAGCCCCACGTTCCCGCGGGCATCTCTGACCCTGGTCCCAGGGTGGCCGTGGTGCGTGCTGACCTCCGGCCGCGCTCAGCTGCAGGTGCACGGAAGAGGCAGGTGGGGGGGAGGGGTGGGCTGTCACCTGAAGATAAAAACGAGCTCATGCCGGCATCACACGGGCGTCTACATCGCGTGGTCAGGACATGTCCCTGGAAAGGACAGACCAGAGTCCAGCCACGTCCAGCTCAAAGGGGCCTCATGAGCCTGGAAGGGCCTGGGCAGGAGGGAGTTCCGGCAGCATTTGGACAGGGGAGGCGGCTGGAGGGCCTGCGTCAGGGCCTTGGGGGTGTCCTCGGATGACCTGATTGACACCTTGAAGGAGGGCGCCTGTGGTCCCGACGCAACCTGGGGTGGGTCCTCAGTTTCCCCACGCTGCCCACCTGTCCAGGGCCCTGCCTGGGGGCGGCACGCCCCTGCTCCACTGGGTCACAGGCCTCACCCCTCTCCCTGACCTTTTGCCCTCCACCCTCTTTCTGGAGGTGATTCCTCAGCTGTCTCCTCTCTGTGTGAGCGTCCGTTGGGAGGGGCTGCATCCACCTGCCCTGCTCACAAAGATAAGACACATCCACACACACCAGGATTTTGAGGCTGATTGAAGGGGTTCCTCATCAGTCCCCCAACATGACTTCCATTTTTCTTGATTTCCTCCAAGGTGAGACATCTCAGCCATTTGGAGCCCTGGCCCCTGGCTTGTGGTGAGATGAGCTGGGTTGGGGGCGGGGGTGGCCGGCCAACGTCTTGGAGCACCTGCCCCCTGTGCTGGGCATGGGGCCTCTGAGTCCTTCCACGGCTCTACTGAGGGTCAGAATTGAGGACCATGGAGCCTTCTGTGTGTTTGCTTGGGGCAGGGACAGGCAAATTCTCCCTACCTCGTTTGTAGGAAAAACTATATACTTGGCTGTAAAGCAAATGGATTTCTAAGCCAGGAACATTTACAGGTTGTTATCTGATAGATTTTTCTCCTCTCCTGAGAAGCAGAAGCTTTTCTGTACCTTGATTATGAACAGTAGGAAATAAATACTTGATGAGTCCCATTGGCGTCTCCCCAGCGGTTGGGTTGTCTGAGGAAGTCTCTGACCCCGCAGAAGGTGCTCTGCGGGCCCATGTGACACCCGAGGGAGGTGTGTCTGGGGCAGTCAGGAGGCCGAAGCAGGGCCAGCTCTCTGCGGGAAGGCTCTCTCTCTGTCGACCGCTGGGCCTCGGCTTCAGGGCACAGGAGGGGTTCAGGTGATGGGACCCCACACCCCGGTGAGCACACTTCATTTCCTAGTCCCCACGCTTGCGTCTACGCCTCCCACATTTCCCCAGGAAATCGGGCCATGACACGATGACTCACCTTCCTCTTTCTGGCAGGGCTGCTCCCCGTGTGTTCACAAATCATGCTCCTGGGAATGTTCTAGGCCTCCTTTCTGGAGACTTGCTGAGGGCGTCTGTTCCAGTTGGGCTGCACATCCAGACATGAGGAGGCGGTCTGCTGTTCCCGCGCCGGGAGGGGCTCCGGGGGCCAGGGCAGGAGTTTCCCGCCTGGGGTGTGACCTTGGCTTCAGACCCCGGGGAGTGCGGTCTGCTCCTCCACCCTTCTGACCACACACGTGCTGGGCTCGCTGCCATCGGGGCTGATTTTTAAATCCCCTCAAATGTGGATCTGGAGTCAGAGGGAGGGGACTGGGAGAGACCCCTTCTGCCAGAAGGGAGGGGAGCCGGCTCCACACTGCAGGCAGTGGGGGAGGACATCGCTTCTTCCTCGGGGCCTCAGCACCCCAGCCCCGCTTGAGCCTGGCTCCAGGCTGGTGTCCACCTGCCTTTCCGTGGCACAGGGACACACAAGTGCACCTGCTCTGAACAGTGACCCCTGATGCTATCCTGAGGGGGGGGCCCAGGGCCACTCGGGGCCAAGGACACCTGGGCGATTCCAGGTGGGGGCCAGCACCTGGTCTTTATCTGTACTTTAGATTTTGTGGGTTCATGTGTTGTGGTGCCCCTGCTGATGACCTTCTCTGTCCCCAAGCAGCTGCAGGATGAGGTTCTCCATGTCTGAGCGTGGTGCTCACAGCAGCTAGGACATTGAGGGGACTAGAGGGGCAACTGGCTCTCAAATTCAAGGGCTTGTGAAGACCCAGGTGGCTGGCTCCCACCCCGGTTTCTGCCCGTGGCGGGGCGCTGGGATTGGCCAGGCCAGGCTCCTGGGTGATGCACTTGGAAAACCACCCTCTGTGGTGACCCAGGTGGCATCGGGGACGTGGTTGGGCATCTCGGAAAGAGTCTGGGAACAGAGTAAGGTTTCATGGAGGCTTCCGTGGATCTCTTGAGTCTGGGGTTGTGCGGCATGGCCCCTCTGGTTTCTCTTAGGGTTTGAAGTTCAGCTCAACTCATCTCCCTGAGCACCAGTCCCTCTGCCCTGATGTGGCATGTGCTGAGAGAGAGGACAGCCTGTTGATTTCTGACATACATTCTCCTACAGCCTTGCGCAGGGGGCCGTGCTGTGGCGGATGTCCCTGCAGGTGCTCTTGGAAATTGGGGATCACGCCTGCCGGCGTGTAGGGTGGTGCTTCCCCTGTGACTCACACAGCGAGCACTTCCACGTGTTCTGTGTTTTGCCAAGATATCAGGAATAAACAGCATTAATATCATTGTGTTGTGCACTCGGGGACCATCAGCCACGCTTCTAGCGTGAAGCAGAGGACGGTGTTTGTGGTGGGTCCCCAGGGCGCCCCTCAGGGCTGCAGGCACGGACCAGCGCTGGGAAAGAGGAGCTTCTACGTCTGGAGCTGGGGCGCTGGCGGAGCCATCCTGTTGCCCCCCTGCCCTGCAGAAGGCTGACTCGCGTGCTGGCCCACGCAGCCCTGAGATGGAGGTGGGGCGGGGTCTCGTGGGCAGATGAGGCAATGGCAGGAGCGGCGGGCAGCCACAGAAGACGTCCTGACTTAGTGACTGGTCATCTGTGGGACAGCGTGTGTCCAGGAGCAGCCCGGCTTCCCGAGCTTCCCGCCATGGCTCCCGGCGGACCCCCTGCGATTTGCTTTGGGCAGAGCAGCTGTGGCCAAGCGCGCTGGCTGGCATCCCGGAGAAGTCCAGGGGCTGGAGTGTTCTCTCTTCAGGGAGAACAAGAGTCCTAGGAACAAGGTCTCGGGTTGATCTGGTGGCTTGTTTGTTCCTTTGTCTTCTCATTCAGCCAGTCTGTAGTGAGTACCTGCTGTGTGCTTTCCCTGGCCAGGCCCTGGGGGTCCTTCCCGGGGTGGCGGGGAGACAGCAAGCAAACCAATACGTGAATACGAAACTTGCTGCGTGGTGAGCGAAGCTGGGAAGAAAATAAACAAGAGGAAAGGGTGGGGCTGCATGGGTTGGTGCCATTTGAATGGGCAGGAAGGTCCCTCCGGGAGTAACATGTAGCACAGACCCACAGTAAATGTGGGGGGCACCCTCAAGGGAGGACACAGCAAGAGCAAAGGCCCTGAGGCAAGAGCCCTGGTTTCTGGGCTGATGTGGGCAAAGGAGAGGGGGGCGTACGGTGGGCCAGATGCCGTGGCCCTCTGTGCCATGGCGGGGTTGAGATGGAGTCAGTGGCCTCTAGCGGCACTCCCCCGAGGTCCCGGGGACTGGGGCAGGGCGTCGAGCTCGGTGTCAGGAGCCTGGCTTCTCCAGTGGCCTCATGAAGCATATCCGCCCTTTCGTTTCAGTCCCACAGGCAGCGCAGCGAGGCCACCAACAACAGCAACCTGGTGTTCCTGTACTGTGCCTTCCTGGACTTCAGGTATGCTTGCGGGGGGCCCGGGGTGGGGACAGGTGGGGAGGGGAGCAGGTGCGGTGGGCGCACGGTGCCCAGGGCCAGGCCCCACCACACACTGGTCCAGTTAGGATCCGGCCACCCTTCTGGAGGCAACAGGGTTGCATTGCCCATAAATGCTGGCAATGGCCTGGGACCCGGGCAAGAGCCTGAGGAGGTGCAGGCCAGGTTTTCTCGGAGGCCACATTAGCACCTAGCAGGACTCAGCCCTTAAAGCCCCGGGGCCACTTCAAAACATTCACCTGGTCCACCGAGGCACCACCGGGGCCCTGGCTGTGCTGGGGGTCGGTGCCGCGCTGGGGAGGTGGCCGGGAAGGGCTGGGCAAGCGGCTCTATCCTGGCGGGCGTGTAGGCCTCTCAGGATTTCATGGCCCCGATGGCTGATGGCCACACTGTGGTGTGCTGACATCAGCCCTGCCTGAAGCTCTGGGAGCCCAGGCACAGACCAGGGCGTCCTTCTCAGCACTCCGTGGGCGCTTTGGAATCCACCGTCCCCCGCCCTGCTGAACCCCCATCCCTGCTGATCTCCACGGGCACCCCACTCACTGTCAGGGGGCCTTCTTCTGATGGAGTTCTAATCGTGGTGCTCCTCTGGGCGTGGCCCCCCACGAATGGCCCCCACGGTCAGAGCAGTGATTGAAACAGACCCCCCCTCCCCTGCCCACCCGGGGCCACGGAGCTGCCAGAGGTGAGCGTGAGAGAAAATCAGGAGTGAACGGGGCTGGGGACACAGGGCTGGGGGTCAGGGGTCCTCTCAGGGGCTCTGTGGGTCAGAGAGGGCCCTCTGCTTCCCTGCACTCAGTGACCAGGAGACTCAAGGTGCTGGTATGGCTGTGTGCTTGATCCCCATCTCTGCTCCCCACACAGCAGGAAACGCAGCCCATCCCCCATAGCACCCCCAAATCTCGCTTCTTTCTGTCCCCAGAGCGCCTTCGTCTGGCTGTGCCCTTGAGTGCACACATCACGCCACCTGCAGAACGCATGACCGACGCTCTAATTGTAGTGGTTTTGCCTTGGCTGGGCTCAGCCGGCTGCAGCCTGTTGCTTGTTTCTTTGCAAATTATGAAAATGCGGAGACACGTCCACCTAGAGATAGTCATCCTCATTTGGGACGCTCCTCGCAGGGAAATATTTTATGAATGGAATAGGGGAGATGGAGTTTGGTAGTAACGAAATGGCCTGTTGGTTCTTATTTTTGAAAAAATTTTAAGAACAGAGTAAAGTACAAAGAATATTCCAACAAGGGCAGGTACCCATTGCCCCAAATTTATAATTATTAGCATGTTTGTATTTTCAAGAATAAAACAAAAACATCACAGATGATGTCAAAGAACATTCCGCTCCCCCCCTCCCCCGTTCTCTGCCCCCAAACCCACCAGGGCCACTACCATCCATTTGGTTGTCGGCAGGCTTCTGGCCACCATTGAATGTCTCCGGCTGACACAGAACTACTCAGGCCGTCTACTTCTTTGTGAGTTTGGACAGTTCTGTGGAGAATTTGTCCGAAATGTGTTTAAAGTGCGAGCACGGAGTTGGTGGTGGCCCTCACGCCCGCACTCCTATCGGAGGGCCTGTGCCGATGTCCCCCTTCCATGTTTGGTGTCTGCGTCCCTCTCTCCCTTCTTGGTCACTCGTACTAGGGGTTTGTCAGCCTTGTTGATCTTTCTCAAAGAAATGCCTCTGGTTTCGTTGGTTCTTCTCCGCTGCGTTTCTAGTCTCAACTGCTTTGATTCACTCTCTTGCGTTTGTCCCTCGGTTTCTCCCATCTGCTTGCCATGTGCTTCGTTTGCTGAGTGTGGGCTTTGGTTGTTGAGGCCTTGACGGTTTTCTGATGCAGGCGTTTCAGGCTGTATGTTTGCCTGTGAGCACTGATTTGGCTATGTCCCATGGTGTCAGCATGTGGCTCCCATTTTCATCACATTAAACCTATTCTCTGTCCTTTCTCATGACTTCCTCTTCAAGCCACACGATGCTTTGAAGCATGTTGTGTAGTCCGACTTTTTGGGGGTTTTCCAGAGATCTCTCCAGTCCTGATTTCTGATTGATTTTTGTTGATGAAAAAACATGAATGAAAACATTCTTTTTTTTTTTGTTTTAATTTCAGTCCTTTTAAATTTCTAAGAACTTGTTTTATGACCCAGCATGTGTTCTGTCTTGGAGAATGCTCTATCTTTTCTTAAAAAATGTCTGCTCTTGGCGGGTGTCTTAAAAATGTCAGTGAGGTCGCGTTGATGGTGCTCATGTGGCTTTCTATGACTTTATGGCTTTTTGGCCCACTTGTCCCATTGGCTAATGAGAGAGGACGGTGATGTTTCCGTGTCGTGAGGCATCTGTCCGTTTCAGGGGGTTCGGTGTATTTTGAAGGTCCGTGGTTAGGTGCTTTTCCAGTTAGGATTGTTCTGTCTTTTTGGAAACTGACCCCTCACTGCTCCATGTCCCCTTCTGATGGGAATGTTGGTTGTTCTAAAGTCCATGTGGCCTACTTTTGACACACTTGTTCTGGCTCTTACTCCGTGCTTGGGTGCTGTGTCTTTCCCCACCTTACATTTCAACCTCTTTATTTATCATCTTTATATTTAAAGTAAGTCTCTTTTAGGTTGCGTATGGCAGCATCTTGCTTTTTTATCCCCTTGGAGGATTTCTGGTTTTGATCCAGGGGTTTTGACAATAGACATTGAATGTGGTTATGGATGTGTTTGGATGGAAACCTGCCATCTTGCTGCCTGTTTTCAGATTTTCCCATCTCTTCCTTGTCTCCTGTGTTCTCTCTTCTTATGTCACTTGGATTTGGGATGTTTGTTACAATGCCACTTTATCGATTGACCTCTAAGCTCCTGTGTGATTTTCTGTAGTGGCTGTCCCAGGGCCCCCAGTGTGTGTGTCTCTGGTTCCTCTCTGTCCACCTCGAGCGACAGGACACCACTCTGCCTGCGGTCTTCGACATCAGAGCAGTGTCGCGCCCTGCGCTGCCCTGGTCGCTCACTGGACCATGATGACGCCGTAAGCGCACCATGTGTTGCTGGAAGTCTTGCTTCAGACAATCAGTTGCCACTGAAAATAAGACAACAGTCGCACATTTTCCTTCACTCTCATCCATTTCTAGCTACTCTGTCTGCAGATCAAAGTTTCTGTCCAGCATCATATACCTTGAACTTTAGCGCAGGTCCGGCGCCAGTTTCTGTTTGTCTCAGAAAGTGTTCCTTTTTATTTTTTTCGAAGATGTTCTCACTGTGCTGAGAATTATGGGTCACTTTAGACTTCAGGAAGCAGTACAAGGAATATCAGTGTATTATTCTTCTAGAAGGTACAAGCAATTGTCCCCTGGACCCTCTTACTTTCCTGACCCCTCCCTGTGCCCTCATGGTGGCCACAGCACGGAGACTTTGAAGTGTTTTCTCAATAATTTCTGTGTGAGTTATATCTACATTCAAAGAAAATACGTGGTCTTGTTCAGATCCGTGTTTCTTGTCCCATTCCACCATACTTGGTGCTGTGCTCGGCCCACATCCGTCTCAACTGTTGTGCAGGATTTTGTCACATTTACCCCACATTTTAGTCACGTGTGCGACTGGGCATCTTCTGCTTGGATGCAGACTTCTAGGTCACAGGGTCATGCGCGTCTTGCTGTTCTTCGGTTTTGCTTGGCCAGGCTCCCGTGGCAGATCTTTTGCGCACAGGCTCTCTCCTGTGTGCGGGTCTTCACCCCACTGGAGGCTGTGCCACGTTGTGCCCGGCTGCCCTGGCGAATGCACGTGTCATCACACCTTTGTGGTTCCATCTGGGAAGATGTGACTTCCCTGGTTTTTAGTTCCCAGTCGCTTTCTGTGTACACAGAGTTGCATTGTTCATCCCCGCGACTGTGCTCACGTGGCCCAGTGCCCGCTGGGTTCAGGTTGGCCTCTAACAGAAGGAAGTGTGGCATCTGCATGTTGGGGAGACGGACAGAGGAGCCACACAGAGCCCAGCAGCCAGCGTGGCTGACTGTCCTCAAGGCCATGGGACATCAGATGAAGAGGAGGGCATGCGGGGAAAGGACAGGCCCCACCGTTAGCCCCTTTATTTGACGTTATTACTGGGGTTTAGGGCCCCTGGACTGATAGGTTAGAGTCACCCTGGCTGTGCTCCCTGGTCCCTGCTAGGCGCCCCCCCTCCCTGCCGAGGGCGGACCGAGCATCATGGACACGGCCTCAGAAGCCGCTGTCCCTGCGTCTCGGCCATCAGGCTCAGAGCCCACCTTGGAGACGCCCCCAGTGATGCTTTCCCACCCACCCTCGGCTTCCACGGCCGTCAAGCCTCAAGCAGAGAGCAGTCACACCACGTCCTCATGGGGACAGTCCCACCTCGGGGTTGGCAACAAGTGCTGCCAGTTCATGCTCCCCCACGGGGTGCTGGCACCCCTCCGGGACGGCCACATTCCTCATCAGCTGCGTCCACAGAGAGAAACCACCACCTTTGAATTTGTTCACCTTTATAAGGGCCCTGCCTTCGGCTGAAGCAAATGTCTGTCTTTGCCGATAACTCAAAGGGGTCATTTCTGGAAAGAACCATGGAAATTCTTCTTGGGAATTTGAGAACACAGAGAGAGAGCCCGAAGAAAATGATGATCACTGATATTCTTACCGTAAGAAGAAACCACAGTTAGCACTTGAGCATGTTTGCTTCCAGCCGTTTTGGTCTGGGTTGAGACTTTAAGAAGTGACACAAGTCCTAAATCAATTCTGTAAAAAAGTAAAACGTTGTAAAAAGGCAAAGATCCCTTTGTTCGGTCCCACCCTCTCTCGCTGGAGGTGGCCAGTCGGGGTGTCCTCAGTACCATGTGTGTCACTTACGGCCACGTCCATGGAGCACGTGGGATCTTGCTCTGCTTCACACGTGTGCACCGAACATGATGCGCGAGGGCTCGAGTTTCACCCACGTGGATACACATCTGCGACTCTGCTGTACCGCGTCTTATCCCGTCCGTGTGCCGCACGGTGGGCGCTGGGCTGCTTTCACGTTCCATGGCGTGTGCCCTGGGCACACGGCTCAGAGTTCTCGGCCAGTGGGGCTGGCGGGTTGTAGGATGAGCACGTCTCATTTTCAGGGGCTGCGGGTCCAGGGCGCCGCCGAGTGCGTGGGCCAGGGCGGGCCCACCGCGGTCCTCCCCTGGTCTCCGTGCAGCGCAGCCGGCGCCAGCACGTCTGCTCTCTCAGCCCGCTGCTCCTCTCTCCTGTGTCCGCAGCTCTGGAGAAGGGGTCTGGTCCAGCCAGGGCTGTGTGCTCACCGAGGGGAACCTCAGCTACTCCGTCTGCCGCTGCACCCACCTCACCAACTTCGCCATCCTGATGCAGGTGGTGCCGATGGAGGTAAGAGCCAGGCGCCGGGGTCCCCGAGCCCCGACAACGGGCCCTTCCGACCTCAGGCTGCAGGCGGGGGCACACAGGCGGCCCCCACTCATCGGGGAGACCCTGTGATTGGGGACCTTTGTGAAGCTCTACATTTTTTAACAAAAAAGCCCAAACCAAACCAAAACAAAAACCTTTGTCTCAAGTTTCCTGAGGCAGCGCTGTGCAAACCCTAGGTCCTTCCCGAGGGTCCACACGCAGAAGGCAGATGTGCCAGCATCCTCTGCCTTCGGTCCCGGGCCGTGGAGCCTCTGAGCGGTGGGAGAGTCCAGCGCAGCAGGGGGACATCTGTCCTGCTCTCTAGATGGGGCCACGACCTTTCAAATGGAGCCCAGGGTTAAGGGTGGAGGAGGGGCCCTGGTTGGGTTTCTCTGCGTCGGGGTATTTAATCTGTCAGGCTGCGTGGTTGGCCTAAGAGCTAGACGTTCATTTCATCGGTTTTTAGGCAAGCATGGCTTGGAAGAGAGAAAAAAAGTACTCTTTAAAAATGCAGATGCCCTGGAGTGGGATCTTCTCAACTATTATTAGTCCCTGACCCCTGCATGTGAATGCCTTAATTGCCTTCTAGACCCCAGGGGAACTTGAATTTCTGTGCATAGGGCAGGAGGCTGGGGAGGAGACAGGGGTCGGTCCAGTGATCTCCCAAGGCCCCTGGAAAGCCCGGCACCTGTATAGACACATTTTGTTTCATCCCAAACTGTGTTTTAGAAACTGAAAAATCTTATTTATAACTCTGAGTTTTTGGGTCCTCTGGAAGAGTCCGTGGGTTTGGTGATGCTGGGCTGCACAGAACAGGGAACCAGAGGCTCCCCCCTTCCACAGAGCTGTGCACCCCTCCCCCCACCATAGGGGCAGGTGCCCTGAGCTCCCACGCGCCATGCCTGGAAATGAACTGGAGTCTGGAGGTCATGACCCCTCTGCTGGCCAGACCTGCTCCACCGTGTCCCTCCCTTGGCGCATCTCCTCCATGGGGCTCGTCTATTTCCGAACAGACCCCCTGCCCTGGGTTCTGTGGTCCAGGGCACCACAGCACCTGCCACGTGCAGGACTGTGGAGTCTTGTCTGGTGTGGCGTGACTCCTGGTGGTCCCAGGGTCATCACCTAAGCATCAATTTCTCATCCACTGCCATTCAACAAGTACTTATCAGCACCTACCCCGGAGGTTCAGCTGTAAACAAGAAAAGCAATGACGTTTTGCTTTTGAGGAGTTTATATTCTAGTGGGAAAGACAGGTAACAGATTAGCAAATAAATGGGTGGTGTGGTCGGGGGAGCAGCAGAGGAGAATGTTCCAGGCCAAGGAACAGGAGGTGCAGATGCCGGAGGCCGGACGGGGCTTGCGGTGTCCCGGGTGGAGGCCGTGGGCATGGAAGGCTCCTGGGTGGAGGCCACGGGCACGGAAGGCTCCCACGTGGAGGTGGCGAGCATGGAAGTCTCCCGGGTGGAGGCAGTGAGCAGAGGAGGCTGCTTCATTTGCAGCCTGTGCCATGGGTGTCGCGTCTGGACTGTGAATTGCTTATATAGACTCCAGAGGGGAGTTCCAGGCTACCCCAGGAGGATGGAGAGCAGCACCACCTGCCCCTTGCACTCCCCGTGCAGACACACCAGCACTGTGCACAGGTTGGAGCTGGGCTGGTCCCCTTTGCTCTGCTGGTGATGAAGCTCTGGGGGCTGGGGCTGTGCCGACGTCCCAGGGCCCGTCACTCGGAGTGGCCAAGGGGAGTCCTGGCCACACGTGGAACGGAACTGGGCACCTACAGGTCAGGAGTCTTTCAAGCGAGAGCATTCAGAGCTTTGGACACATGGTGCTGTCTCGGGCTTGAGGGGCACGAGCCATCGGCTTGCTTGGTGCCCTGCGGTGTACATCTGTGTTCAGGCAGCCGTGACCCCCCGCCGGTCCCAGCGGGAGTGACACGGGCAGCAGCCGCCCCTCAGGTGATGGGCACCCCTTCCTGTCTGGTTCCTGCCCCCCCGGGCCCCCTGTCACCCCTTGCTCTCCTGTCCCCCTACTCTTCTGCCCGGTGCTGCCCGAGTCGGGGTGTGCACTCTGGCTCTGCACCGTTAGCTGCAGGGAGGTCAGGGTGGTGGGCCAGGCCCAACGGTGTGGGGACAGTGAGGTGGGACGGACTAGAAGGTCCCAGAGGGCCCCGAGGCTGCCTGGGCTGCCTGGGGCGCCCTCCGAAGTCCCACCCATCTCAGGTCTCTCCCCACCCCCCTTGTTCCTGCTCTGCACTGACATCTGTCACGGGGGTGAGGCTGCGGGCTGGGGACACCACCGCCATGAGGCTCATGCCTCCATCTCTGCCTGTCGCACCAGGGCCTCGGCCCACATGCCTCTGTCGTGTCCCTCTGGGCGCCACGTGCGAGTCCGCGACCCGCCTTAGCTGTTCCAGCGGGAAAGGCTGTGACCCGCAGAACGTATGTGCCGGTAGGGTGGGGACAGGCCGAGGGTGTGGTGGCCGAGACAGCGAGGCCCAAAGAGGGGGACGGGCTGGGGTCAGTCGTTCGTCCAGCAACAAAGCATTGGACTTGAGGTGACGACCCGGAGCCTTTAGAGCACTGCTCTGGGCCTTGGGAGCAGAGCAGCTGACACATGACAGTGCGTGGGACCCTGAGCGAGGAGAAGGCGCTCCGCACTTGAGAGCGTGCTCTGCCCTGTGGCGGCGGGGGCGCGTGGAAGCCACGGGGGCAGGGTGAGGAAGGGCGCAGCCCCCAGGGCCTCCCTGAGGAGCAGGTGCGGTGAGCGACCTCAGGGAGGAGGGCGCAGCCTCATGGTCCTGGGGGGAAGGAGCAGGGACACACAGCAGCAAGGGGCCGGGGGGCTCTCAGGAGAGGTGCTGGGGCTCAAAGCCGGAGCTTCAGACCCAAACGTCGGGGGCAGAGAGGCTGTCATGGACGTGGGGGAGCAGACTGCCTATGAGCGGTGGTGCGGGCAGGACCGGCATCCTCCCATCGCAGCTGAGCGCCAGGGAACTTGTCCAAGGTCACCTGGGGACAGAGCCCAGCTTCGGCTCTGCTCTCCAGATCCTAAAGCTGGGGCTGGTGCCGAGCCTCCAGGTGGTCCTCTGGGCCTTTTGCACACAGAGAACGAGGTCCACGCTGTGGGCTCTGCGACATGGAAGGGGCTGCTGAGTGGTGGGTGTGGGCAGGAAGTTGGGTTTGGGATGTTGGCGGGACAGGGAGGAAGGGAGGCATCTCAGTCCGGTAAGCTAAAAAAAACCAGCCACAGAGCATTTGTGATGCAAAGCTGTCAGCGTTCCATGTAGGTGACACCAGATTTGGATAGTCTGTGGGTGTCTTCGTGGCAGCAAATCGTATCTACTCATTGCCAGGAAAGGTTGATTTGAAAATGATTCAAAATTACCCATGCTAAAAATGAACGTTCTCAGGAACATTTAAACAAAGACGGCAGTTATCACAAGTAGATGCCGAATCTGAGGCTCAGTTCATTTAGTGAGAACAGCAAGAATGGCTTCCCCCAACTTCTCCAGTGCTCTGGGAGGGGGTATCATGGCCCAGGGTCTCTCCTCGGCGCTCACAGCTGCACTCCCCTTCCCTCCGCGGGTCTGCCCTGGCCCGCACCCCAGCAGGGCTGCTGTGGAACCCCTCTGCGTGGAGCCTGGGTGGCTGGGCTGGGACGTGGAGGGATGTCCCAGGCCTCGCTCTGCTCACTCTTCTTTGTGGGAGGGAGTGTGATATGGCCCCCCCCATTTGGCAGCAGTGAGGGGCTCAGCCAACCATGACCCCAGGGTGGGGGACACCACACTTTACACTCCTGCTGCAGAGAGTGGGAAATAGGCCTGGACCTCCTCCCACCGAGTGCTGACCCCACAGGGTCCCCCGGCGGCTGGTTCTTGGGGCCCCCTTGACCCAGAGCACTGGTCACTCTAGCTGTGGCCAGCCGGCTCTAGTGGTCATTACTCCATCTGACCCTAATTTCTTCTTCTATTAGGAACTGTTTCCATTAACGTGGTAGCTGATATACGTAGGTTTTAAGTGGGACGTGGTGGGAAGGGTATTGAGTGGAAGGCGGTGTCTCCCACCATCTTCTGCTCTCCTGCCGCCATCCCCTGCGAAGCCACACCTGTTCCAGGGTCTCCCCTCCTCCCGGAAATGTTCCCCTCTCCACACGGGGTGCCATGCTGTAAGCAGGGCTAGGGGCCCCCCTCCCGTGTGTAGTGTGTCCCCTTGCACGCCCACGCCCCTGCCTCGTCCTGGACACACCTGCTGCCCCCTCAAGACTGGGAGCCGTGGCCCTCAGGGGCCTTGACTGGTCACCTGCTGCTGGGCACTAAACTGGCTCCCGTCCGCGGCTAGTTCTGGCAGGGGAACTGGGGGCACTTACACTGCTCTCTGGGGACCCTGTTCCAATGTACACCTCCTCCAGCGGTGAGCAGGGACAAGTAACTTGTCAACGTAAATCACAAAAACACGGCTCCACCACTGGGGGCTTCTACGTTTCAGACAGGGTGGGAGTGAGCCCCTGCACTGATGCCTGTAGATCTGGGGCCACCATCATGACCAGGTGTGCCAGCCAGACACCTCTCCGAAACTCACTTTCTGCACCTTTAAAATTCGTGAACCCTGGGGCGGCTGGGTGGCTCAGTCGGTTAAGCGTCTGCCTTTGGCTCAGCTCATGATCCCAGGGTCCTGGGATCGAGCCCCATGTCGGGCTCCCTGCTCAGCGGGGAGTTTGCTTCTCCCCTGCCTGCCAGTCCCCCTGCTTGTGCTTGCTCTCTCTCTGTCTAGCTCTTTCTGTGTCAAATAAATAAAACCTTTAAAAAAATTTTTAAAAAAATTTGTGAACCCAAATCGAGTAAGAATCCTAAGAAATTAGTTTTCTCCTATTGGATAAAATTATCTTCAGGTTAATTTTGGAACAGTATGTTCTGAGAGTAGTCAAGAAAATTAAGGAAGAGAGTAGGAGAGACTTTGCACAGCATAGAGCAGATCCCCGTGAAG